AATGCGCCTTGAGTCCGGCTGGCAGGTGGCCCGGTGGCGATGCTGGGGCCGTGCCCTGCCGGAGGCACCTCCTGAGGAGAGGGGCCGCGTGTTGACGTGAATTCTCTGTCTCTGCAGTTCTTAAAGAACAAGATGGGAAAGACTGAGAAGGCTGCCATCCCCTACAGCCAGCCTGTTCACGGTTTACACCTGTGTGAACAACCAAAGATTAACAGACAGAAGAGTAGATGTAACATGCCACTGACAAAGATCACCTCGGCAAAAAAGATAGAGAACTTTTGGCAAGATTCTGTATCGCCAGAAATAATTCAGAAGCAGGAGAAAAAGCCACTTAAAAACACAGAGAACTTCAGAAATGCCAAGTCCAAGAAACCTATCGCCCTAACTGAAGCGAGCCAAAAAGAAAATTACGCTGGGGCAAAATTCAGTGACCCACCATCTCCTAGTGTCCTTCCAAAGCCTCCCAGCCACTGGGTGGGTGGCACAGCTGTACCATCTGACCAAAACAGGGAGTTGATGGCAGTCCATTTGAAAACTCTCCTAAAAGTTCAAGCATAGTTTCCAAGATCTCTTGAGTAATTGGCAAAGAAAACTCCATCCAGGAAACTTAAACATGCCTTGTTGCAACAAAAATTGCAAAAGACTGTCAAGTCTTATAATCACATTAAAAAAAAAAAAATCCTTGTATTATATTTTTTATGGTTGTGTAAATAGTGTACATCATGTATTATGTGTATATTCTTGTTCATACTTTGAGAGGTACATTTTAGTTTTGTTATGAAAGGATGTATTTTGCACTGCCTGAATGGTAGATGTCTTGTATATAAAATATGGACAATTTTAAGTGTGTGCTTGACACATGAAGACTTGACTTGATTTGCACAAGGTAATGGAAATTTTGGAAGGAGAGTACAGCTTTCTGATTTTAAGGTTCCAGATCAAATGTGAATGTTTTATTCATGCACTACTGACAATAGTTTCACATTCTGCTTCCCAACTGAGTATAAACATGAAACTTTCATACAAATGTGAAGTTTTGCTCTCTGCTCTGGAAACGGTATCTGGAATTCCTGTTCATTTGTTCGTTTTTAAAATTAACTGGAAGTAAAATTCCAACCCATCAATGTGAGCACTGCTGATTTCTTTAAAGAAAAAAAAAAAAGAAAAAAAAAAAAAAGAGCAGAGCTTTCTGCCAAAAATCCAATTGGTCACTAAAAATTTAAATAAAACAATTTGGCCTCCCCTTAAGCACGTCTTTGTTTTTCTTTTGTGTGTGTGTGTCTGTTAATTCAAGTATGTGAACTTACTTGATTGCCTTCTAATGCATCAATAGGAATATTTTGTTGTTCTCAACCTCTACCCATCCAAATAATTAAGAGGTTCAATAGCTCATTAATTCCTTGTGTTTTTAAAAAATGCTTCCTTTATAATACATCTTTTTAGGTTCCTTTTGTTTATTGAAAATCCGTATTTCAAGAAAGTTGGGCAATTACACATTCAAATTCATGCTGCGATGCTCCTTAACTGTTTTCAGAGTAAGTTGTTATTAAACTAGTTGGTACTGAAAAGTAGTGGTGGCAGAAAGGATGGGGCAAGTTAAACTTCATATTTTTCACCAGATTCCTTCCCTTGCTGATAGCTGTGCTGGAAATTACATTTCTCCGATCTAAAATTCTTAAGGAATTGGACTGTGGATTAGCCTTGACGGGCTCGTTGAGGAGATAGCATAGATTTACAGTTATTTTACTAGTGTAGAATTTAAATAAGATGAGTAAAGCCAGGCACAGGAGAAATTTCCATGAGACAGAAAAGCATTTTTAAGTTTCTGGATCCACTGAAAAAGAAAAAGCGTGCTGGGAGGGGTGTGTAGGAAGGAAACGCCAGGGGCAGGGGCCCGGCTGAGGTGGTTCCTTAGCATGAATGGTGTTTTCAGAGGCGGATAGCGGGCAGCGCTAGCTCCCTTCACCCCGTGTGCACTACTGCTTCCGAAACACATCATCGCTTTGCGCCGTGCCTGTGAATTGGCAGCGTTTGTTAACATAGCCCCGAAATGAGATCGGTCAAAAACTGAGGGAGAATTGCATTGCTTTGCTTTGAAATTAATTATGGAGTTGCAAAATTTTTCATTATATTGCTACTAGGCTACTTAACCGTGTATGTTCTAAATGAAGAGTTCATAGAAAATGGTTGGTCGGCTCCAAAGACTGTTCGCTGTCTTGCAAAACAGGCCTGTATTGCTTGATTAACGACGGTACACACTCAAGGTAAATGTATGGCTTCGGCAGCCCAGTTTGCTGCCTAATCTAAATATTCCATAATGTAGCATGTCCTAGCTTGTCTTCTAAAAATGAAGAAAAATCCTGCTTTTCAAGTTTTTTAATAAACCGTATTAGGGCAAAGAAAAATCCTAGTAGAATCTAAGGATGCCTCAAGCAGACCCTAGGTCCCGGTTTATTATATTTGCTGTATGCTGTATTGATCTGCTCTTGCACTTTTTTTTTTTTTTTTTTTTTTTTTGGAGAACTGGC